TTGTTGTATAACATACATTTTTACTTTATGTTTCTTGGATCTACCTTTCTAGCTTTATTTCATCTCATTCAAAATCCCTTATGAGGAACTACTTGTCGTTTCCTAAACATGCTTTTTATATCATCTTCTCTTATTGCACAAATTCCCGTCCTCTACTTGACTGGCCTATTCTTTGTCTTTCAAGATTGAGCTGCAACATTACTTCTCTGAAGCTCTTTTGCTTACCCTCATACTTCAGCTGAGTTTGTTGTTCCCTCCTTTGAGTTCCAATGTTACTCTACTTTGTAGTTACTGCCTTCATTATAATAACTTACTGACTGGTCTATTTTTACTTGTTCCTTGCAGTTTATAGTAACTTTGACATAGTGGTTGGTGATCTTTTTAAGTAATGTTAATCCGATTGTATGCTCATTAAGTATGCTACTTAAATCTCTTCATTTATTATCCACTGCTCTTAGGTTAAAGCTTAAATTTCTTTGCATGACTAAATTGCAGCAGTAGCTGTGCCTGTCTTAATTTTTTAGGCTGACCCTTTTCCCCTCTTTATAACAATACTTGACTTTCTTAGTTTTTGAAACTCACTGTACCTTGCTTACTTCTGAAACACTTTCTATCTGCATTTCTTATAATTCCTACTCATCCTAAAGGTTGTCCTAGTTTCAGGACCCCTTCCTTAGAGATACCATCTTTATCTTTAGACTATATTGGATCATTGAATTACAATTTTTTTCATCTTTTCTTTATACTGCTTCTTTAGATTAACAGCATTTATAAAGGTTGGGACCATATATATCTTGTTCGCTGTTTACCTCAAGTTGTTTGCACAGGGAATGGTGGTACTGAGGATATCCACAGATATTGAATAGGTGAATATATTGTGTCCTCTTTTAGACTGTTCCTTTAAGTAAGAGTTACTTATTTCTATCTTTGTAAAGCAGGCATTTTTGAGTAATGAACATTTTATAGCACCTTTCATGATCTGCCTGGAATTCCTGGGTGTTATGTGTGTGGCTGCTAACCCAAAGGTTGCAGGTAGGAGTTCACCCAGAGGTGCCTCAGAACAAAGACCTTGTGATCTACTTCTGAAAAAGTAGCCATTGAAAACTCTGAGGAGTCCAGTTCTACTCTGACAAACATGGGGCCACCATGAGTCAGAATCAGTTTGATGGCAACTAGTTTTTTACTGGTTATGATCTACTCTACAAAGTTGACATTCAATAAGACTGAATAGACTATTATAATGATCTTTTTATTTGACCCAATTTATTGACCATGTTCATAATTTTAAGGTTGTGAATAGAAATTTATTTCTCATTTCTATTTTAAATGTAGGCTTACTATTTTTATTTTACCTTTTTAACTTATTATGAATTGAACAAAGGTTTACAGACAAGATCATAAGCTTTACATTCAGCAAATTCTACTTTTTGCTTCATCTCAATGATTTTAATCCCCTCCCTGCACCAACTTTGTTCTTCTTTTTAAGCAGAACTTTGCTTATCCGAGGTCTCTGTCCTTTACATATAAAATTTGTGTTTGTATTTTCCACCTTTTTAAAGAATGTTGTTGGAATCTGATTGGGATTGTATTATATCTGTAGATGATTGTGGGTAGTGCTGACATTTTCACAGTGTTAAGCCTTCTATCCATGAGCATGGTACATTCTTCCATTTTTGTAATTCTCTTGGTTTCTTTAGTTTTCTTTGTTACAGGTATTTGCTTCTCTGGTTAGGTTTATTCCTATGTATTTTATCCTTTGGTGGCAATTGTAAACGGTATTCTTTTCCTAGTTTCCTCTTCAGAGTTGTTTTTATCAGTATAGAGGAATCCAACTAATTTTTGTATACTGATCTTGTACCTTGCCACTTTGCTGAATCTTCCAATGAGTTCCAATAATTTTCTTGCTGAATCTGGATTATTTTCTTTGTATGGGACCATATCATCTGCAAATAGGGAGTGTTTTACTTCCTCTTTGCCAATTTGGATGCCTTTAATTTCCCTTTTGTCCCTTAGCTCTGGCTCAGACGCCCAACACATACTGAATAGGAGTGGTGATATCAAGCATCTTTGTCTGGTTCCTATTTGCAAAGGGAATACTTTGGTTTCATATATATGCTCTTAATTAAGTTGAGGAATTTCCCTTCAACTCTTTTTTTTTTTTTTTAGTGATTAAAAAACTTTTTTTTTCATCAAGAATGAGTGTTCGGCTTTATCAGTTAACTTTTCTACATCAATTGGTACAATAATAGCTTTTTTTTTTAATGTGGATTACATAATTCTGCTAATATTGAACCATCCTTGCATCCCTGGTATGAATCTCACTTGGTCCTGATGTACTGTTTTTTACATGTGTTGTTAAATTCTGTTGACTAGGATTTTGTTGAGAATTTTTACGTCTATGTTCATGAGGGATATTGGTCTATAATTTTCTTTTTTAGCGATGTTATTTCCTAGTTTTCATATGAAGGTTATGATTGCTTCATAAAATGTATTTGGGAGTTTTCTATCCTTTTCTGTGTTTTGGAATAGTCTTAGTAAAATTGGTGTCCGCTCCTCTATGAATGTTTAATAAAATTTACCAGTAAAGGCATCTGAGCCTGGACGTTTTTTTGGTTGGGAGATTTTTAAAGACCTGATCAATTTTTTCTTTTGTTATAGGTCTGTTCAAGTTTTCTACTTCACTTTCTGTTACTTTAGGTTGTGTTTTTCTAAAACTCCATCTATTTCTTCTAGATTTTCAAATTCTTCAGGGTACGAGCCCTCATGTTGTTGTTGTTGTTGTGAAGTGCCATCGAGTCGGTTCCAACCCATAGGGACCCTGTATAGGGACCCTGTATAGGGATTCCGAGGAGCAGCTGGTGAGCTTGAACTGCCGACCTTGCAGTTCAAACGGCTTTGCAGTCATAGTATTCTATTACCTTTTTATTTCTATTATTTACATTTTTATTTCTGTTGATTTTGTTGTGTCATCACCGATATGGTTTCTTAAGTATGTTGTTTTTGTCTTCTCCCTCTTCTTAGATTTTTCAACTTCTTGCCTGTTGATTCTTTATATTGATTTTCTGGTTTCTCATATACTTATTTCTGCTTTAATCTTTATTATTTCTTTTCTTCTTGTGATTGTAGGCTTACTTTGCTCATCTTTTTTTAATTGTTGGAGGTGTTGTGTTAGTGTATTGATTTTGGGTGTTCTTTTTTGGATGTGTGCCTTTTTTGCTATAAATTGCCCTCTAAGCACTGCTTTTGTTGTATCCCAAAGGTTTACTGTGTTGTATTTTTATTCTTACTTGCTTCAAGAAATTTTTTTATTTCATTTTTTATTTTTTCTATTATCCAGTGACTTTTGAGCAGGATGTTATTTATTTTCCGTGTATTTGATTTTGTTTCATTGATTTTCCTATAGTTGATTTAAAATTTTATATATAGCATTGCCATTTGAAAAGATGGTGTGTAGTTTTTTGATACTCTTAAGTTTATTGAGACTTTCTTTGTGGCCTTAAATATATGGTCTGTTCTGGAGAATGTTTCATGTGCACTAGAAAAGAGTATGTATTGTGCTGTTATTGGGTTAAGTGCTCTGTATAAATCTATGAGGTCAAGTCGATTGTGTTGTTTAGTTCTTTTGTGTCTTTGTTGAATTTTTCTCTGGTTGTTCTGCCCTTGATAGTGGTGTATTAAAATCTCCTACTATTTTTGTGGAATTATATATTTCATTTCTTCAGTTTTATTGAAGTTTGATTTATGGATTTTGAGGCTCTTTCATTGTGAGCATGGATATTTATTATGGTTATGTCCTGTTGTTCAGTTGAGCCTTTTATCATTAGATAATGTCCTTCCTTGTGTCTTTTGCTGGTTTTGCCT